AATAAAAGATAGATTTTGAAACTGGCCTATAAAACACATACAGGTTCTACAGCTTCTCATATGGCTGTTTCATAAGGTTCTTTTTTTTGTATACTGGTGCAAGTGGGACAGCAACACTTGTCTTACAGCATTAATAGTGTTTGATAATAATAGGATTAGGATAGGAAACATAGAACGATGTTTTCTTGTAGGCTTCCATCAAAAAGCCTACAGTGAAATCTAAACTCTCCCTTCAAAATCCCAGGAACATCCTCAGTATCTTATGCTATTCAATCTAGGTCAGATTTTGAGCCTAAATTATTTGGCAGAGTCATCTCATATCACAGCTGCGGCAAAAATAATTTGGGATAAAAAGGAATTAAAATCCTTCCTGCTGGCAAGCTCATCATATTAGCCAAGGGATAAATGGGCATGGAAACCTAGCTGGGCTTGTTCAAACAATTCTCTAGAACCCAAGATTGGATTTTTAAAAATAAATAGTTGGGGTTTTTCTTTTCTCATTCTTTCCTTGCAAAAACAGCTGTAGGATGTAAATCGTCCCACTGAGTCAGCGCAGGGTGAAGCAGAGAGGAGGCAGCCTCCAGAGCTTAGTGGCTTGATGACTTCAAAGCCGAATTTAGCGGAGCGAGCGTCGCTGCCGTTACCGCTGGGGAGCCTTCATCTGTGTCTGCCTCACCAACGAGCTCCTGGTGTGGGAGAGCAGGGGGCACGGTGCTGTGCTTCCAGGAACCCCCCCTCAAACAGATGGGTGCCCCATCAGCATCAGCGACGGGTACAACCCCAAGAAAACTTTCCTCCCTCTTCCCTGCAACGAGGGAATCGCCGCAGCGGGGGGATGATGTGGGGGGAGCCCGATCTCCATTTTGGCTGGAGATGCTCCCAATTCATACCCAGGGATGCTGTTTGGGAGAAAGGCTGGACTCATCCCAGGGCTTCATATTTTGGGTTGAAGCATGCTCCAATATTAACCGCTGAACCCCCCCTGGCCAAAGGGGAGGTAGTTTTGTGTTTATAACAGGGTTATCGCACAGATGTGAAGCGTGACTCTGAACCCCCAATACTCAACTCATGCCCATTTTGCTCCTGGAGCTCCTGCTCTACCTTAAAGGAAGCCCTGGGCTGTGTGGGTACGTCTGAGCTGCCGGGGGTCGCTGGAATAAGGAGCTGGTGTGGGGCCGGCCAAGCCTCTGAGCCCTTATTCCAATATTATTTGGGGAGTGGAGTTACCAAAGTCACCAGGATTTTTCTACATGCAAGAACTGCAGGATTTGGTCTAAGCATCTGATATGAGACAGCATTTTAAAGTACATATGTGGGCTGGGTGTTATATTTTTTGCAAAATCATGGCCCAAAATCAAGGAAAGATAAACAGGTCATGAATATATTTAGGCTGGGAACCAGAAGAAAGAACAGCCTTCCAGTTGGAGGAACTGCTAGTCTTGAGATAAGGCACCAGAAATCTCTGGGCACATTTTTCCAGCCTGAGCGGGGTGTGGAGGGGGATCCAAGAGCCCTCCTGGGGCACCAGGGGGGTCTCTGGAAGCCTGGGAGGAGGATGTGTAAGTGCAATGTGCATCCAGAGCTTATTGTCTCCTCTCTCCTGAACAGGCTCTAATCCAAGGACCTTGTCCCCAGGATCCTATCACAGTTCATCCCTTTTAAACCCTCTCCTTACATCCACACACCCAGGGGGACTTTGGAGCTAAACTTCACGCTCCCCACATCATCTAAAGACCAGCCAGTGTGGGTTTGGGACTGTGCATTCTCCTGAGCTCATCTTTCCCCTCCTATTTAGTATATCTCAGAAAATGCCCAGAAATATCATTCCCTCCATGTTTTGTCTGTAAGAAACGATGAAACCTTCCCTCACTGCCCTCTGGTTGTTGGAGTTGGACCACTCCAGCTCCCCACTGCCACGTCCATCTCCAATGCCCACCTCCTGCCTCCCAAACCCTCCAGCTGGGTTTGACTTCAGGCTGTTGGCCCCACCAGTACCTTAGCCAAGTGAGCTGCAATGGTTTTCACCTGCCTCCAGTTGATTCCAGCTGGGAGTCCTGCTTTCTCCTGGCCGTGCTGGAGCAGAGTGGCCGGGTCCCCCGGATTCCCGAGTGACGCAATCCTGCAGATTCCTACTTAAAGCAGAAGAACATGCTGAGCCCCGGGAGGCAAAGGCTGCCAGCAGACCTCTGTGCTGATAACTCTGCGCCTTGGAAAATGACTCAGGCCCTCCTGCGTGACACTGAGGATTTAAAAAACAGGGGGCTGATGGGTTTAATCACGTAGTCCTGCGCTCGGGAGGGCCGTGTGCTCCCGTCGGGAGAAATGTAGGTAGTATTTATTTGTGTGAGGATTTGTGAATGGAGGAGTCAGACCCTCTCTCCCCTGCCCCACGTGGCGCTGCACTACGTGCTGTTATTAATAGATCAATAATTCTCACGGGAGGATCTTGTAAAATGTGTTTTCTGGAGAAGTCCCACCAGAGATGAGAACATCCAGCTGTGAGTTTGGTAAGAGCCGGGGGAGCAGCACAGTTCTCCCAGGGCTGGGGAACTCTCGAAGGGCTGATGGCAATGTTGAAGGCAGAGCAAAAAGCCGTGATGCCCCAGGGATGTGGGAGGAACATGCACTTTGGCTCAAAAATTCCTACGATAAACTTTGCTCGAGAGAAAGGAGCAGAGGAACACACAGGGTCTCTCCCTTCCAAGAGCCACCACTGCAGACTGGACTTGCTGAACCCACCCAGGACTGCACAGCCTCCTTCCAAAAGGGTAAAGCCGTGCCCTCGTGCCCTGTGCTGGACACCTGAGTTGTCCCTGTCCCCTCGAGCCCCCGCTGCCACCCCAGAGCTGTGCACGGGACCGCCCAGCTGATGCTGCCTTTTCCCACGGGTGCAGGGCACGTCTGACCTTGGGAAGGACCTACACGAAATGCCCAGCCCGCTCCAATCCCCCAAACGGGACTGAAGCAAGGCTTCAGTCATGCCTGGAATGAGTTTTCCTGGGACAAACTGATGGGTGAAGCCGTGTTTCCAAAGGCAGCGCTATAAATGGGCATTACTGACTGATCAGACCTCGGTTAGAAGCATTTCACCACAGAGAAGGTGGTGCTCGGTCTCATGAAAAGGGCATGAATTGAGTCACCTTCCCAATCCCTATTGCCATAGAGGCAATATCACAGCAGGAGGTTGTAAGGGGGAAGAATCTGATGTGCATTTCTCTATTTTTGGTGCTTTTGGTTCCTGCATCGTAGCCAGCTGCATCCCCAGCACATTTCCCTTCTGCTTTGAGCTCCTTGGAGTTCCTCCTTCCCTGCCCAGCACCGGCTCTGCTCCACACACAACAGAGGAAACTTCGTACCCTAGCAATTTATTTTTTTTTTTCCCCCAGGATGGAGATTTATACCCACAGCCAGACTTGCACCAACTTTTTTCTTATGAAATCAAGTCTGGAGAGTACCTGAAAATGTCAGTTTATTGCTGGGTTTGGTGGGAGGCTGATGCAGAAGGAGGACTGGGGGGGTCTGTGCGGTCAGGATGGTTCAGAACCTACAGGTGCTTAAGGATCAGGAAGGAAAAGATTTGTGATGGTCTGTTATTGGAGCTGTTTTGCATAACAGGCAATAAGGCAGCCGGTTGTTGCTATTTTGGAGGGACTAAAAGTGAACAGAAATGCTTATACCATTGCTCTTTCTGATTTGTGTGTGATTTCAAGTCCAGCCCCTGACCGGAGCCAACCCAAGCCGTGCTCTGAGCCCCTTCCTCCGGGAAACCAGTTCAGCAGCCATCCCGTCCCACCTGCATCGCCTCACTGATGACATCAGGGCTATAATTTGCCTGAACAAAACAAACGTGAGCTGCCAGCCCTCCCAGGAGGACTGATCTGTTCACAGAATGGCTTCTCTTCTGCTTTATTGCTCTCTGCCTTGTCATTCCAAGGGCAGTTTCAGTGGCTTTTTGGAGATCGTTCTGTGAAATGGTCCTTGTGGTGCTGAACGGGAATAGGGCAACAAAAAATGGTTTAAGTCTGAAAAAAAAAAAAAGCAAAGCACAGATGGCTGGGTCTGGTGCAGAGATGCCCCCTGGAGTCGTTAGCCAAACTCCAGGGAAGTTGTTCAGTGGTTGCCCTGCTCTCGGGGACACAGGACCAGCCCGGGGTGTCCCCCAAACCCCTTACCTCCGGCAGGACCGAACCCCCCCCTGGAAAACCTCTGCTGAGCTCCAGGGCTCCTCGTGGGTCTCAGGTCCCTTCCTTACAGCAGAACAGCTCAACTCTGAGGCTGCCCACGTACCACCAAATCAAAGAACAAAGGACTTGATGAGCATAATTACGAGAATTAATGGACTTCAGCAATTATCTGTGTTTCTGCAACGTGGTGGTGGGGGGGTAAGAGCAAGCCAGGAGCTGGGCAGGAGCAGAGTTTCCAGGGCTGGACCAAGGGCAGAGTATAAAGTTTATTTCACTTCAGCACTTTGCACAGAGCTGACAAAAGTATTTTTTGCTTTTATAGTTATGGGATTGCCCTAACTATGAGATATGTGTCCCCACCAGCCCCACAAACATCCCGCACGGAGGTACAGGGCGTCAGCTGGAAACGCCTGCTGGAAAAAGGCAAGAAGCAACATAAAAGAAAATAAAAGTCCAATAAATGAAGGTGAATTCTCCAGTGGTCTTGTGCAATGGGAGATTAAAAAGAAAAAATCTCTGTGGAAAAAAAAAGAAATCGAAGAATTCGTTATTTTTGGCAGGCCTTCTGCACGTTTTGCTTATCAAGGGATCGTCACAGGGAGAGGATTATTTTATAGTGGTGTAAAAGTTCCCTCCCTGCTTCAGTTCTCCTGATCCCAGGCTGCCTCCCTGCAGCCTGAGGGGCCTCTTTATGGGATTACATTTCCACAACTACTTCTCTTTTTTTTTTTTTTTTTTTTTTTTTTTTTCTGGATGGGGTCTTTTTAAAAAGCAGTTGCCCCAGCAGGGCACGTGAGATACAAATTCCTGCCGCGACTCCAACCTGTCAACCCTCGCTCTGTTTTTCGGGGTCACTTGGTGCTGAAGGAAAACCTGCCCTTGCTTAACACATCAGAAAAAAAATGGTTTCAGAACAGTTTATCCGGGTGAAAACAAGCTCCTGGCCATCCTGTCAGGGTCAGCGTGAACCACTGAGCTGGTGCTCTGCTGTGAGCCACAGCGGGGTGTCACACACTGGGACACCCTGGGGACAGGCAGCAGGCAAACCCCCCCTTCCCGAGCTCTTCTCCAGGGACAAGTCCCACCTGCCCACTCCTCACTTAACAAGAAAACCATGGGCTTTCTCCAGGTCAAACAAAATCCACACATGGATGAAACCTGGGTAGGGATTTAATCAACGTGGGCTCGTGCACGGCACCCCGGGGTGCTCAGCATGGTCACCACTCTTTGGCCACCCACCAGGACATCGAACACAGGGTCTGGGCAGTCTGTTCTCCTTGCAGGAAATCCCAAGGTGGTCCTGACCCAGGGTGAGTGCTGTAAAGAGGTCATCTCCTCCTCCAAGCACCAGCCCGAGGGTCTGCTCCGGCGCAGGACTGGGGGTCACCGAACGCGCTGCTCCACCAGCGGTGACCTGGCTGCTCCAGGTATCCCCTCCATGGCTCTTCCTTGTCCCTGGCACCTGGTGAGGACTTTCAGGGTGCTGTAGTCAGGAACGAGTCCTTATGAATTCCCCACTGCCTGGTCCAGGCAGGAGGAGTCACTCTCCCAGCACGGGAGGGATGCTGAGGATGCTGAGCTCTCCAAGCCCTCTCCTCTGCTCTGCAGCATCTGTGTTGCTTCTCATCCTGCCCTGCTGTCAGCTCTCCTCGCAGGCATCCTTGTGGGAAGGGGAGCAGTTCTCTGGCTCCTTCGTGGTCCCCGCTGAGCACGGCTCCACCTTGACTTTCTTTCTTCCTCTCATTGACTTCTTTGCTCCTGTGGACAGCGCGGTGATGGCAGGAGTTAAGCACAGGGTGATGGTTTTACATGTACAAGGTCAGTGTGGCCTCGTCCCACAACGGGGACAGCACAGGGGGAAGCAAAGCTCATCAAAGGAAGGGTGAAGAGACACCCCTCTCACACGTGAGACACGTGGGTACCCGGGGAAGGCTGCTCTTGTGACTCTGGGAGCAGAAACAACATGTGAAGCAGAAGAACCGACCCGGTGCAGGAGCGTGCCCGAGAGGGTACCCAGCCCGGTGGGAGGCATTTCTTGGATTTCCCCCCCTTCCAGTGGGGCACTTGGCACACACCCCACGCTGAGAGAGGGGCTATGCCTCTCCATCACCCCATTCCTGCCACAACTCCATCCAGCCCTCACTCGGGACGTCCCCATCCAGTCCTGGAGGGTGGGATGGTGCCCACCCTGGGGAGCACAGGGTGGCTTTCCCCCCCAGTTGCTCCCAGCGGCTGGTTTTGTAGAGCAAATCCTCTTCTGGCTGAGCCGTGGTGGTGTTCCCTGAGCGAGCACCTCTGAAGGCACAGAGCAAGGGGCAGCACTTGCCGGTTAAACCAGCTCCCTTCACGCTTAACCAACAGCCCTCTCTGCTTCTGTAACTGGGTTGACGTTTCCCTGACTTTACCACCAGCACACGGGGGGTTGGTAGCGGGGTATTTCTGACAGAGCCCTTTTTAAGGCCTGACAGCCACACTGGCTTGTCCTCACCCTTATCAGGAGCCGTTTTCTGCCCTTCCACCTGCAGGGAACAGGGGTACAACACATTCCTCTGGCGGCAGGGAAACCTCCGCAGCCACACCGGGAGATCAACATTGCGGGCAGGAGCCTTTCTCTGGACGGCAGTGACTCACCCCTGGGAATTTGGCCTTCTCCAGTCCCCACCTCCCCGAGAGGCTAAACAAACACGAGGGACTTAGCCCTGTTAGCTTAGGCGCCGGGGAGTGCTCTCCTGGCCACCCTGCCACTCCTGGCCACACCACCATGACCAGGGGCTCCTCTGCCTGGAGATGCGTTGCCAAAACACAGCACAACGTGTCTTATCTCGGGGAAAGGAAAGACTCCACTGCATCACCTCGGGCAAACCCTTGTTTGCAGCGTGGCATGCACTTGGCAGAGGAGAAGCCTCCTCCCCGCCGCAGGGAAGGTGGCCGCTGCCCTCGGGTGTTTCTCCAGGATCCCCTTGGGAAGCAGCAGCAGTTGGAGCCCTGAGGGAACTCCTCCCTCCCTACCTTTCGTCCAGGGATCCTGTCCTCTCTTTCTCTTCTTCTGCAGCACGTGAGCTTTGTCTTTGGTGCAAAAATATTTCCCGTCAGCCTGGCCTTCTGGCAGGATATCATCTTCATAGGGGGCAGCCACCTACACCAACGAGAAGAGTGGTCAGTCTACAAACTACCCCACTTTCACAGAATCACAGAATCTTAGTGGTTGGAAGGGACCTCTGATATCATCGAGTCCAACCACATAAAAAAAAACCCAAAAAACCAACCAACCAACCAACCAAAAAAATAACCACTGATGGCCCCGTGCCTTGCTGGGGACCTTTGTGGCCATTGCTATGGGGTGATGACAAATGCTGCTGTTCACAGACCCTCTTGACTCGCTGAAAAGAGTGGTATCTCTATCCCTCAGCAACAAGTTGGGTAACAGTGTGGGAATGGGGTTTGGCACCTCGTGGAGGAAGAGCCATCACCTCCCGGAGTGAGCTCGGGCAGGGACAACCCGTCTTGTGCCTCTTGGACCCAACAGCCCGAGCTCGTGGGCTGAGGAGAGCGAACAAACCTCGCTGTCCGTTGTGTCTGGCTCATCGGATTCCTGCTTCCCAGACTCAGCATCATCGTCATCTAAAGAAACACAAAAAGAAGGTTTTTTTGGCTTGTGGGGGCCTGACAAGCTGAGGAGCAGATGCAGAGCCTTTCTCTGAGGGCCAGGGACATCCCAGGATCTCAGTACCACGTCTCTGCCCCTGAGACCCTGGTCCAGGGGGCAGGGACTGTGGTGGGGCAGTCTCCCTTGGTGTCCCTGCCCAGGTGGGAGAGCAGATGGTGCCACTTTCAGGCACGTGGTCTGATCCCATCTTCACTTTATCCCTCCACGGGTTAAGGTTCACTAGAAAGTGCAGAATTATTTGTGTGTCATTTCCTGGGCTTTGTGTCAACCTGAAGGTGAGAACTGAAGAAAGTCCTGTATTCCCACACCCAGAATGTAATCAGCTGAAATTCTTCTGCTGTGATGGTATCTCCTTAGCATGTAAATCACAGAGGACCTCCCCCCCCACCTTTTCTTTTTTTTTTTTTTCTTTCCACCGTGCAAAATCCTGCTGGGCAGAGTGTTCCCAAACCGCTCCGACACGCCCAGACCGACTAATCCAGGTGAGCTCAACTTTCTGGCTGAGCCAGTAAGGCTGGTACGGAGCTGCTCTGGGAGACGTGCTTCCCGCTCTGCTCCCCATGGCTGCTGCCCCATGGCTCCCACCCAACCTGCCGCCCACGGCCCGCGGCGCTGGGGCAGGGAGAAAGCACTGCGTGTCCCCACACTAAGGGCACTGCTGGATTTGGGGGTGGAAAAGGCTTTGACAGGGGGTGGAGGAGGGAAAGGGAGGAGAGCATCCTGTCCTACCTGCTGCAGGTACCCACATCCCTCTCTCCATGCTCAGCCCTACGTGCTGTTCCAGCACAGGGCACGCTTTGGAGCACAGACAGGGATGGTTTTTCCATCCATTCCATGGTTTTTCCATGGTTTTAGTCCTGCAACACCTCTTGCATTTTCCTCCACCTCTGCTGAGGGGACTTCTGAGCTTCTGCTTCCCTGAGAGGGGTGGATAATGCTGGAGCAGCAACGTTGTCTTGTCAGGGCTCACCCTGGAGTGGGTTTTGCTAATGGGAACTGAGCTCTTTAGCTCCTGGAGAACCTGGTGCCACCCAGCAGCTGAGGGCAGGGGGCTCTACAGGCAAGGGCACCCCAGGGTGGCTCCTGTGCTGTGCTGGGCAGAGATACCAGGCTCTTCTCCAGAACAGCCAGGGTTATTTTCTCCCTATAGAAACTGAGCCGGAATTTTGGGCATCCCTAAGGCTAAAACGGAGCCTTCAAGGATGGAAATGTGAAACCCAAAGTTCCCCCAATCACCCAAAAGAGCTGGGAGCCTGGGTCCCAGGAAGGGTGTCCCGTGCTGGTTATCGGTGGGGGCTGCAGGTGCCTGCAGAGCCCGGCACAGAGAGCTCCCGGCTGTGAGACACCTTCACAGAAATGTACCTTTTGCTCTTGCCTTCTCAAATGTCACCTTTGCCTGGGGCTTTTTACCTGCTTCTCCCTTCTGGGCGCTGGCAGCCACTCTCACCCCCGTCTCTGGAAGGGCCTCTGGGTCACTTGGCGTGGAGTTCTTTGTCGGATGTGCCCGTGGGAGAGCGAGCTGTGGGAGAGAGGGAGCACAAATGCTGCCTTCACCAGGCAGGAGAGGGCTGTGCCCAGCCCCTACGTGATGGCTGTGACACCCGTGGGGTTGAGCATGGTGGTCATCACGGTGCCGGACCCCCTGGGGAGGGGAAGGGGCCATGGTTGATGCCAACATAAGCTGTACTCACCACAGCTGCATCCTCCTCCTCCTCTTCCTCCTCCTCGGCAGCACCAGGCAGTGCCCGGGTGGCATTGGGCCAGCGGTAGTGGAAGCACAAACCGTCCTGCTCTGCCCCGTGTCTCCTGGGGGTGACGGGCAAAGCGGGGCTCTCCCCGGGGCTACTCCCCCCCCGCAGCTCCCGGCGGCTCTGCCAGCCCGTTTCCCTGCCACGGCCGGAGTCTGAGAGATCCAGTGGTGTGTCTGCTCCATCGTCCCTTGCCGCCTTCACCCTTTCTCGCAGCTCAGAGATGTCCTGGCTCAGCCAGAGCTGCTTCTCCTCCTTCCCATCCACGGCATCCTCCAGGAAGGACCGTTCCTCCTTGCATCCCGGCGTGATGCTCGCCCACGGGGAGAGCGGCCTCTCCTTGGGCACGGGTTTTGGGTCTCCATCTGCCCGCTGGCCCGGCTGGCACCGCTGCAGGAGGAAATGCTGCAGCCTCTCCCTCTGCTTGAGGAGCTGCAGCTTCTCCTCCAGGTGCTGATCCCTCATGTAGACCATGGCGGTGGGGAGCTTCAGCAAGGCTGCACCATCTTCCCAGCCCTCGCGGGGCCGTGTCCTGCCGTCGGTGTCCTTGGCCCTCAGCAAGGGGCTGGAGAAGCTGCCGCCGTCCCGCTCGGCCGAGGCACAGCTGGTCGCCAGCCCCAGCTGGTGCAGGGAGAGGTGTTTGTGCAGGAGGCAGAGCTGCTCCCTCCGGGCCGTCAGTTTTAGGTTTTCGTAGGATGGAGCAACCTTGGGGGAGTCCGGTTTGCCCGCTGTTAAGTAGCTATAAGGAGCAGGCAAAAAATAATCACATTAATTAGAGAATTTTCTTGGGATTTCCCCTCTCCTGCAGGTGGTGTGCGTGGTCTCTCCTGCCCTATCTGCACCCTGTTTCAGCTCTTGGCCCATGCACCATGTTTATCTTTGGGTGCTGTGCTGGGAAGGAGGGTCCTGGTGGCCGTGGGGGTCAGGCAGCCGGCAGTGGGTCCCTGCAAACCTCAGGAAACCATCCCCATCCCACCATCCACCTCCTGTCCCAGGGCCATGACAGCTCCAGGCAGGAGGCTGAGCGAGTCAGGGGACATGGTGACCGCTCACATCAGCACTGCTGCTGAGAAATCACTTGTCAAACCATGCCTTGCAGCCAGAAACATCCTAACTACCCCCATTTCTTAGTGCCTTGGTGGGTTTGAAGACCTCCAGGACAGAGGAACAGCCCACCCTCTCCTACTCTCACTCAACAGGAGATTTTTAAACTGGAAGAGGGGAGATTTAGATGAGATCTCGGGAAGAAATTCTTCACTGTGAGAGCAGTGAGAGCCTGGCCCAGGTTGCCCAGAGAAGCTTTAGATGCCCCGTCCCTGGAGGGGTCCAAGGCCAGGTTGGATGGGGCTTTGAGCAACCTGGTCTGGTGGGAAGTGTCCCTACCCAGGGCAGGGGGGTGGAACTGGACAATCTTCAAGGTCCCTTCCAACTCTAACCATTCTATGATTCTATGATTTTCACAATCATGCTGAGAAGGTTGGCACGGTGCATGAACCTGCCCTGCAAACCCAAGTCCCTGCTGTCACTGGTGATTTGGCAGCTTCCATGTGCGTGAGCTTTTCCTGGGAATGCTCAGCAGATCTACTCCCACTCTGGGAAACTCGCTGTCTCTATGAGTGAACTCACTGGCTTTGCTCAGCCTCTGTGCTTCTGAAACCATGGGGAGGATAAGCTCAGGGAAGTGCTGAGCCCGGCAGAAAAGCCCATTAGAATAGATAAGGAGGAACAGGAATTGCTGCCTCCCGTGGGGCAAGTTCTTCTGCTCCCAGCTGGAGGTGGGGGCACCTGGTTTGCTCCATGGCACTGTCTGCCGAGCTGGAGGAACCAGAGGCTGATCTCGTTGGGCTGGATTCCAGGCATTTTTTGCTGGTGTAAACTGGGCGATCCCCCCAACCCCAAGGCTGTGGGAGAAGCCTGAAGAAGAAGGTGGGCAGGTACAGCAAATACCAGCCATCTCCTCACGGTCTGCCCTGTGGGACAGCTCAATGGACCATGGATCAGGCCCACACCGTGACCCACAAGGAGGTAACTCACGCCTCAAGGATGGGGCTGTGCTCGCGCTCCGGTGGGAGAGGGGTCTTCCGTGCCGGTGGGGACACTGCAGCCCCTGAAGGACTTTTTTCCAAGAGGCAGGGTCTGGAGCCAGGTCTCACCAGGGCAATGGTTCCGTGCAGCTGGTTGGAGATCCTCTGGGATGCCTGTGGTAGAGGAGAGAAAGTCTGGATCAGCTGTTCTGCTGTGCACCCCTGGAGCCCCCCAAGCAGAGATGGAGCAGGAACAGGACAGACGGCTCCCAAGAGCTCTGCTTGGCACATTTCTGATCAACAGCTCAACCCCATCTTTGTTGGTTTTCCCAGGAAATTTTCTCTTTGTAGCGGAATCTACAGCATTCTGCATTTTCTGCCTGCACTGATTGGTAGCTCACATCTTGTGCCTCCCCTCAAGTTAAGCCACAATTCGGTGGTTTAACCAAGATAAGACCCTGTGAAACCCCTGACCCCTAGTTGGGCCAACAGACTTTATTCATGCAAGCTCCCGGCAAGCAGACTTTATTCATGCAAGCTCCCACTGGTTGGATGGGTGTATTTCCAGTGGAGAACCTGGCCATGGGGCCGAGACATCATCACCTCCATCTGCTGTCATGAAAGGCTCACCACATGTTCTGACTTGATTTTCCCCTGCCCACCTGGAGATGTCACCAACCCTTCCTGCCATCCCTATTAATTATCTCCACAGCCTGCCTGCAGTCTTAACCAGAACCCCTTTCCACCTGCTCTTTCAAGTTTTCTGCAGAGTTCAGGTAAGTGGAGCCAGTGCCAAAACAGAAGCACCTGAGTGGGTGTGTGTGTGGGCTTGGGTTCCCACGACCAGGAACGGGGCTCCAGGACCTGCCGTCTCATCCCCCGTGCCCGGTATCGCCATATCACTCAGCATCCCTCGGCTGACACATACTCTCTGCATTTTAAAGGCATGGCAGGCTTGCATCGACGCCCAAAAGGGCAACCACTGAATACCAGCTCTCCTGAAAATACCACTATTCATTATGCTGCAGATGGAGAGAACATCTGCGATGCTCTTGGGCAGGGTGGCTGTGGTGTATTTGTTCTCAGTAGCCACAACTCCCACAGTTTAAATCTTCTCCAGGCCTTTCCAGCACTCACAATGCTCCAGCTTCTTGCTCGCCCAGATGATGGAGAGGATATAACTCGGGATAAGCTACACTGAAATGATTGTACACAGCACAACCTCCACGGGGCCTTCACTCCTCAGAGCTTGCTTTCCTCAGCAAGATGTACTGAAATGATTGTACACAGCACAACCTCCATGGGGCCTGCACTCCTCAGAGCTTTCCTCAGCAAGATGCCTGAGAGAGGAACCAGAGCGATGGGCAGAGGACTCAAGGATGCCAGACGTGTTGTCATGGAGGATAAACACAGGAGCAAACAGAGATGGGCACACTCACGGCGGGGACAGGAGCACGTGCCAAACTCCAGATGCTTTGCTCACAGTGAGGGGCAATTTCTGCACGGGATGCATCTGGCATTGGATAGGTGCCCTCCTTGGCTCTGGCAATGGCAAACCACCCACCTCCGGCTAATTGTTTCACCCCCAAAGTGCCTCCTGCTCATTCCCTATCCCAGTCTAGATCTTTTGATCCAGTTCAGATCACCACAGTGGTGGGGAGAAGGCCTGAGGACACCAGGTACCTCTGACAACTCACCATTTCTGCCAGGCTGACTTCTTGGAGGACAGAGCCTGGGGAAGTCCTGCTGCTTGGAGAGCTTCTGTGTCCTGCAGGCTTTTCTGTAAAAAAGACACAACCAGGCCCTGTGATGGTCCTGCAGAGCTATTATGGGCTGCCCTGCAGTGGGCTGGGGTCTCACAGCCTCCCAAGGATGGCATTGGCTGGCACCAACTATCTCCTATTGAAGATTTTGAGCCAAAATTTCCCTCTGGCTCAAGCCAGCACCTGGTTGAACGTACTCTCCATGGCATGTGTAGGTGGCAGCACAGCAATGACATGGTGTCTGCATGACATGGGTGGTGAGTCCACACCTGCACAGCACTTGTCCTGCAGTGAGGGCACCCAAACCATCTTTGCTCTAACACAAAGCAGCGTGTTTCTGCCTGGACATGTATTTCCCGACCCACAGCAGATATTCTGTATATGGCAATGTCCATCTGAGCGGCCAAAAGTTTGGTCTTTGCTCTCCAGACCCTTTCCCAGAGCAGCTTTGCACCACAGCTCTGTCACTCTTCCCATTCCCAGGTCCCTCAAGGGTGGTGGAAGCCAGCAGCACCCACCTTCTCCCAGCTCCAGAGCTGGCACATCGTGGTGGGCTTCCTCTGCTCCCTCGAGAGCTGCTTTCTCGGTGCCGGCGCTCCTGCTCGCTGGGGACAGCAGAGCCAAGGGGGAGCTTGGGGGGGAGCTGCTTTCTCTGGAGGTGACTCCTGGGTGCTTTGTCCTGTCCCTGTTGAGAGGAGAAAGACATGACTGAAGGAGAAGGGGCAGGAGACAGAAGGTTTGAGAGCCACTGTACTGAGAGCTCTGAGTTTTAGAGCCCGATATATAAATATACATATTTATGTCTATATGGATGTGGATATACCGGATCCTCAGACCCACCTCCTTCCATCGCAGCTTATCGCCAGCTCAGCTGCAGCCTGGAGCATGGGACAGAGCCAGCAGGACAGCTCAAGGTCTGATTTCCCCACTTGGCAGTGGGTAACGTCGCAGGAAGCCACGACGTTGGGTAAGCCAAAACCCAACTGCGGCTATTGCAAAAGCTCTGTGAGAACCTGAACCTCCCTGGCTGGGCTTTCAGCCTGATGTAGGGGTGGATTCAGCATGGGGATGTGCTGGCTGTCCCCCTTGGTGAGGCTGATGCTCTTGGTCCCTATGAAGAAGCCATTGAGTCTGGGAGACCCACACTTATGTCATGGACAAAGTCTTGGCTGGATCCTGAAGCTGAGACATGGGTGTTTGGCTGGAAATATTCCCATCCAGCAGCTCAGGGAAGAGCAGAGCAGGAGTGCTTGGTGCTCAGCAAACCCAGCCCAACCTACAGCTCTGAAACCCCTCAGGTCTTGGGGAGCATCAGGGAGTAAAAGAGAGAGTTTCTCTTTAAGTGGATGGTGCTTCTGTGCTCCAAAGAAAACACATTTCTGAACTAATCCCTCAGTGCTAATTCCTCTGGACTTTAAACCCTTGAGGAATGAACTGATTTGTATATATTGGCCAGCCTGGCAGGTTACTTGGCTTCCAGTGCAGCGCTCTGCTGGGATAGGAACCTGTTGGTGCAGGTCGCTTCTCCCCCTTAATCCCATCTCAGTCCCTCAAGTGTCACTCTCCTGCCCTCAAAACACAGCCTGCTTCCTGCAGACCCTCTCTGGCTCCTGCAGGAGGGGAGCTGCTGCTGGAGAAAAGCCATGGAAGCCCAGGCTGAGGTCTGTGGCCAAGGCAAGTGGCCCAGGGCTTTGCCTCCCATGAGAGGTTCCCCATGGGGGGTGCTCAATACTCTCCCCAAAAACTGAATCCTTGGATGCAGGTGAACAGGAGAGTGAGAAAAAGTCAACAAGGACTTAGAGACCACCACAGGTGTCTAACATCTATGTGAATTAGGTACTAAAACACCCCATCGGGTATTAGATGCCATAGGAATTAGATGCCAAAATACCCCTGAGGGTGCCACGGTCTGGACGTAGCCCTGCTCAGCTGTGGGGACACCTCTGTCCTTACCAACACCCCTGGCAATGAAGGAAACCCAGGAGGGCACTTACTCCAGGCTCCGGAGTCTCTTCAGTTCTTCCTTGAGAGTTTTGTTCTCTTCCCTCAGGCGGTTCGTCTCGTTTGCTGCGGGGACACAAGCGGTACCAGGGGTTCAGATGTCCCCAGGAGAGTGAGGATACTCCTGGGGTGCACGGGGGAGGAGGAGAGAACAGCACTAGGGGTGCTGGAGGCTAAGGGATAAAAGGGAGCAGCAACTTTCTGACTCAGGTTTGGTCAGGATTGGGATCTGCTCCATCCAGATCGGGGGGAGAGAGTGACCCAGACGGGGTGGTGGCTGCAGCCCGGTGTGATGGACACAGCCAGCATCCTGCCTGCAAGTGTCACGGCTGCCCCCGAGGAGTAGGTGCTGTGTTAGCGGGAAGTCTGAGGGTCTCAGGGGGGATTGGATGAAAACCAGAGGAGCTGTGGACACCCAGGAGGTGGGCACCATGGCAAGGATGAGCAGGTGGGATCCCAGGCAGGCTCCTGCTCAAAAGCAGCACTCAGGGAGCAATGGCATAACGAGGGAGATAAACCAAGGGCTCATGGCACCTCTTCCTCCCTCCTAATCCCTAAAATACCTTATCTCCTTTATCCTCCTCGACCCTCCCTGTGCCAGCCAGATCCCCAGGGAAAAACACCCCGAGCCTGAGCGGTGCTGGGAGCTCTGCCAGAGGCTCGGGAGAACATCCATCACACGTGTTGCTTGATTTCCCTCTACCCGTGCTGAGCTGCTGCTGTGACTTTCCTGTCTTTGCCAGAGTGTTGCTTTTGCGGTGCCAAATGCATCTTTTCTTTTTTTATTTTCTTTTTTCCAGGCAGCTGACAGGGCCTGGCCAGCTCGGGGCTGCTCTTGGGGTGAGCATCTCTCATTTTTCTGGAGGTGCAGAGGGCTGTGACCCCCCCAGCTCTGCCGCTTCGTGTGAGCGGTGACCTCTGCCTGGGGAGGACGTGAGCTGCCATCCACAGTCCTGCTCTAATCTGATTTTTCAAAGCCCCCACGCTCACATTGGCTTCCTCCCTTCTCCCCATCCCCAAACCCCTCTTGGGTGCCCCGTCACTGGAAGGACTCAAGTCCAAATATCCAGGAATGGAATTATGGAGCAAAGAGACTCAGCCAGCCCAAGCCGAGCTTACAGCAGGCGGCGGTACGTACTGAGGATGAAGATGTGCTGGAGGCTCTGGAAATGGGAGGTCTCGTACTCGTTCTGCTTCTTTTTTGCCAGCTCCTGGGTGACCATGCATCTGTCGCAGAGACCCGCTCGCAGCCTGGGGGGAACCCATGGCCAGCAGCTTGTTAACATACAGATCCCACGGGGGAAATAAGCTCCTGCCCTCCCCGGGGAGAAGCGTGTGCATCCAGCCCAGTGCCCAGAATCGGTGAGAGGAGTTATCACCCGGGGAGCTCAGCCCTGGTCCTGCCACCCCCCCAACATCCAGCCCCACCACCAGCAGCTTGGAAGAGCTCTGCACGTTCCCAGGCTCCCCCAGTGCTCCCAGCAGCAAAATCGGGGTTCCTGTGCTACAGCCCACTTCTGGGAAGGCAGCAAACCCCAAACTCTGCCCCTTGGAGGGTGCACTCACTGCCACCCAACACCCCCTGGTGAAAAACAAAGCTTACCTGTTCTCTAACACCTTTACATTTTCTTTGAGGACCTTCTGTTGTTCCCTTAATTGGTGATTTTTAGCAAACAGCTCTTCAATTCTCTGAGCATCACTAATGGAAGAAACAGAACGAGGAAAAGAGGGTCATTAGATTCCCCCCCAATTCTGTGCCTTTATCCACAGTGACCCATCGAGGGGAAGGGTGTCTGCTCTGAGCCCACCATGATGCTCCCGCTGGTGAGGCTGAATGGCTTTTCCTTGTGTGGCTGGGGGGGGGAAACAAATGTGTTAGAGCCCAAACGCTGCCCTGTGACACCCACCCTTGGAGTTGGTGGCTGCTTTGTCCCATTTTATTGCTTCCCAAGAGAGCAAGACCCATCAGCTTGAGCATCACTTGCTGGTGGGAAGGTAAACTGGAGGTGGGCTGGGACCACCCGGTGCCCTGCCTGTGCTGGGGGTTTACACGGCTAAAGTCACCAACCTGGCAGAGGCAAAAAGGCAAACCCTGCTCTTTAACCCCCGCAGCCTTGGGGGAGAGCCTGGGGGGGCTGAAAATGAAGGGGCACAATGTCACCACAGCACAGGGAGGGCGGACGCGGCTCTGCTCACCGGCACTTCTCCGTCGTCAGCTCCGTCAGCTTGCTCTGCAGACCTGGAATGGGGGGCAGAGACAGAGAGGTGGGTGTTTATTGCCAGCTCCCCGCCCTCAGAAACAAAACGCAATGATAAGAACATCAGGAGGGTGTCTGGCTTCGCCTGAACCTCATCAATTCACAAGCCTTATTTCCCAGAAGGAACAACACTTCTCTGATGTTAAACGATAGCACAATTTAACGGAGCTGGGCAAGTTGTGCAAAACGTAAGCACATTTTGTATTTCCACTATTTAATGAGTCTGCCTTTCCCTCCCACCCCCAAAAAGTCTGTTTCAGTTTTGTTTCTACTTATTTTTTGTTACTGCACTCATTTCCCAGGTGGGCAGTATTTTATAACTCTCAGGGCTGTAAAGCATCTTGCAGGATATTTACAGCTGAGCAGGAACGGCTTTCCTTGATGGATCTGCAGACGTTACATCTTGTCAAATCCATTTTATGCAAAGTAGATGTAAACATGTGGTTTAAATTGCTCAACAGTTTCCTCCAACTCTCACATGGCTTGAAATTACACAAGAGAAGAATGAATTCATAAGTCAGAATCCTCCAAAAGCGCTGTTGTTTTGTTCATAATATTGATACTGGGAATTATTCTAATAGGAAAACAATTGGATTTGGCATTCAGTTGCTTAACCTAATGGCTCTTATTTTAATAATGTATGACCTGAGGAATAATTTATTCCCTAGAGGAATAAACTATCCAGCCTGACTCCAAGGTTTTCTTTATCAGAGCCTCATACTCCTGCTGCTTCTGTCCTATAGATTATTGCATCTTTCCATTTTCCCTTTGATCCCTCAGTATCCAAATATGCTCCGATCCCTGTCCCTCAGGGAAGATGCCAGCGGGTGCACGTCACCTCTGCAAACCTCCCAATTCCCCTTTATCACAGACCACGGCAGCAGCGGCAGGAAAGGAGCCAAATTCCCTGTGAATAATGCTTGGAGCAAGTGGGATTCCCGCAGGTGGGATATCTCCAGGGATATCGGATGCAGAAATGCCCTCTCTCTTCTGCTCCTCCTCATCACCCAGAAAGTTACTGAGTTTCTCCGTAAACCCTGTTCTCCACTGGGATAAGATGGATAAACCACACCAAGGTGCCATCAGGTGGTGTGGTACCCTGAGGGCCAGGCTGTGTCCCCATCCATCCCCCTGGGTGATGCTGCCACCGCATCTGAGCCCTAATTCCCAAAGCTCCCCCATCCGCACCCACACCTCCTGCCTTTGGGTTAATTCAAACCAAACGGGTCACGGTGGGGTTACCAAGAAATGGACCTCAGCCAGCTTTTAATGAGGCTTCTCGTGTCTCCTCACCTTGGACCTCTTTCTCATGGATTTCCTTCAGCTTATTCAGGAATTCTGCAAAACTCTCCGTGGTCATGTTCGGGGCTGTGCCGCACGCCGGGCTGCTTCCAGCCTGAGGGGTCCTTTCCTTTCAAATTATTCAGGTTTCAGTCTAAAACAGAAACAAAAAAGTCTGATGATAAAAGAGAAGTTTCTTGCGTATGTGATGTTTTGTGAAGTCTTAGAAACAGGGCAAAGCCCAAACCTAGAAAGTGAAATCATTTGTTAAACCACGGACAGGCACGAAGCGGCTCAGCCGGGGAGGCGTTCGTCCACGCAGGCAAAGAGGAGAGTGATGGCTCAGAAAATGGGAGAACTGAAAGCCCGGCTGAAAAATCAGGCTTTTCTTTTGCTTTTTGAGCTGTTAAAATTGCATTTCTCTGGGATGAAGCGGGGCAGGGCACCTTCTTGAGGAAGGAACCACAGGGCTTGTGTTGGGACCGCGTTGCTGGGGACGGATGATGGGAAAACTCACGGCAGCTTTGGTGCTTGAGCCTGATGGACCCATATTCTGCTGGGTCCTGAGATGCTCCTGCACATCCCTCCTCCCTCTGGCACCCCATGCAGCTTCTACAGGGACAACACGTACTGCTCAGCTGCCCCACTGTCATCACCCAGGCTCCCCGTGTGGCCACACTGCCTGCAGCCTCTTCAAACCCCTGGGAGACACCAAACTGAGTGTTCACCCCATTTTACAGAGAAATCTGGAGAGGCGATGGGCAGATGTGAGCACTGCAGGAAGCCTGGTGGGTGCAGAGCTGGTGTGGGTACAGCACCCGTGGGGCTGAACATAAACTGGGGCGCCCTGGGGTGCACTGGCAGCCCCCAGCCCCTCCACACTGGGACCAGTGTCCCAGCTCCTGCCCCTGCCTCAGTTTCCCCATTGAGGTTATGGGGTCATTTAAGGTCCATCACGCCAAGTGCCATCGTTTAGTGCTGGCAGAAGTGTTCCATAATCCCTGAGAACAGACAAAGTGCTCTGCTTCCTAAAAAAAGCCCCTTGTTTTTTCCTTTTTTGGTTGAAAACATCCCCAAAAAGGAAGGGTGGAAATCAGCCTGCCACAGCCCCCGCTCAGGAAGATGGGAAAGGCAGGAGGCAAAGAAACAGCCTGAAAGTCAAGTGGCTGGTTTGTAAGATTTTCCCCCTAATTTTAGGATTTTGTAAAGAATTTTTGCCCTAATTTTAAGAATTTTCACTAATCCCATAAATTTTGAAATTACTACCAGGGGTGAAAAGCAGAAACTTCATCAATGGGAAAGCTCGTTACACCAGTGATGACCTCATTCCTCCCTGGGATGCTGATGTCGGAATAAACTCGTTCCTCTCCATCAGCCAGAGGCTCGGATCCCCCGAGACAGCAGTGGGACCCGGTCCCTCCTGGCCCATGGTGGTACCAGGGAGGAGCGTGGGTCTGAGCATCCCTGCAGAGCATCATGGACGGTCCCCCGGGGTTTGGGCAGGGGGGTGCCCAACCTCCCTGTCCCCCTGAGCAGGTCAGCAAAGCTCTGCCCACCCCAGGGTGTCCTCTGGGACCATCCCAAACCGTGCTGGGAGAAGTGGGGACATTCAGCGTCGTCACATGCGAGCTTCTCCCCTAAAAATCTCCAGGTCAGTAACCCCAACCCCAACAAAGCACCTGGACACTCAACCTTCAACCACGCAGAGGTGATCAGGGAGAAAATCTCCTCTCTGTGGTTCGAAGGTGCAAGGCCAAGCTGGGACCCGGGATTTGCAGCCCCCTGGCAGCACAGGGAGGTTTCCACCGGGCTCCGGCACGCTCCCAGCCTGTGCCTTTATCTGCATGCAGAGCAGAGGTGTGTCGGGTTGCCTGCATATGCAAGATGTGGGCACGAGGAGCTGGAAGAAGAAACTTTCCCCTAAAGCATCTGATTTTCAAAAGAAATGAGGCACGTGCCAGCAGCAGCAGCAGCAGAGCTCGGCTTGTGCGCGCCTGGATCCGCCAAACAGCTTCCTTGCCTTTTGAGCAAACAAGCAGAGATCTCACTGTCTGGAAAAAGAATTAAAAAAAATATATTCGTTGCTTTCTCTCCCACTTCTTCCCTGATCTCTCCCAGCTGGTGAAAGCCACCGGAGGCATGGCATGGATGTCACAGCTCGGGATCGGCCACTGTGAAATGGGATTGGGAACTGATCTCTGCTGCTCAGCCCCAAGAACCAAAGCTGAAATAATACCCAGGGGAATAATATCCGGCTCGATTCCAAGGGAAAAAACCAAAACAAAAACCAAACCCTGATGAAAAGATGTTAATGGGAGGCACTTCTCAGATTCGCTGAGTCCTAAATTGGGCTCTGCCCTGGGCAAAGCACCTCCCCAGGGCTGTGGCTGTGAGACCCACTGCTGCCATCGCAGGGCTGGCACCCCCAGAGCTGGCTTGGGAATGCTCCAGCACCAATTCCCATCGCCTTCCCCACTGCTCCAAACTGGGAAGGGATTACAACTGGGAGCAGAGCTGGCGTTGGCCCCGTGGGCTCCCTGCCATGCTCTATGGGGCCAGATCAGCCCCTGCCCTGTCCCCAGGGCTGGTGTCACCCAGGGATGAGCATTTTGGGCTACAGGGCTCCAGATGGGACGTCCAGGGAAGGTGACATCCAGGTTGGGTTCGGACTCAGTGCTGGGTCTGGATCCTGCTGCCGTGACTCAGTGCCATGGGCAGAGCCCAGCAGACCTGGATTTGGGGTTGGGGTTCACTCCTAATTTTCTTTTCCTCAGGGCCCCCAGGTCAGCAGGAATCTGTGACCAGCTGGAGGGTCCATCAGTGGGGAAGAACTATTGTCATTTTCGGTGCTTTTTGGGATGCCAGCATCCATCCCTGCCTGCAGATGGGACTGCCACGCTGTGGGAAACCTGACAAGGACTTTGGGTCTCTGGTCCACACACGATTATGGAGGTGTTGCACGAGCATCACCCCCCCGTGTATTTGCACCCAGAACCTTTGGCCGTGTCAGAACAACCCCACAGAGAGCCCGGGTTCCCCGAGGGCTTCGGCTTCGCTCCCTCCTCACCTGGTGTGGACCGACCCAGGCACGAAGCCGCAGCCTCCCTCTCCTCCACCCCGCTCCAGAGGATTTATTGAGGGAGATTTATTGATGAAGACCAGACCACAGAGTCCCTCAGTGTGGAGCTCGCTCTTCGAGACAGGGATTTCATTTACAGCCCCGTGCCCTTTCCAGAGCTGTCACTGTAATATACACCCGGCGGGGCCGGTCGCGGGGCCGGGAGCAGCCCTTTGGCGGGCCGGGGGGGCCGGGTGTATTTCAAAGTGACGGGTGCCCTCTGCAAACAGAGCCCTAGTGTCGGGGACCGAAGGCAAACTCCTCACCCAGCCCCTAAATCCTTCGGGTTTGGAAATCCCAAACCCAGGGCAGGGCGGATGCCGACGGCCGTGGCTTTTCTCACCTGCTCTCTGCGTCCCCCGATGCTCGGCTCAGGGGGGGACACGGGGTCCTGGTGGGGGCACGGGATCCCCAGAATGTTGGCTCTCACACATGGGGCTGGGGCACCCCCTGGCATCGCTTGGGTACCGATGGCATCACTCCTCGGGGTGGGATGCTCCTCACTGCGGCCAGGGAAAAGAAAAGCATCAGGGAGGTTATTTCCTAGCCCGTGCCAGGACATTTGGGAAGGGACAGCCAGCTCTGACAGCACAGCTGTCCCCCGTTCCCTGGGCCTGGGGGGTTTCTGGCCTCTTGTCACCATCCCCAGTGCTGCCTGCCATGCTTGCATCTAGCCACAGCACGTCCCCACCTTCAGCACTGTTTCTTATAGAAGAATAAGGCAGCTCGTTAGCTAAATGAGCAGAAGTTGTTAAAAAAAAAAGTAAATTAAAAAAAAAAAGGCAGTACTGTGAAGTTCTGACACTTCGGATCAGAGAAGCTTAATGGATTTACAACCAGATATTTCCTCATCAGCAACACTGGAGTTGTTCAGCTTGTCTTGTCACCATCCCCAGTGCTGCCTGCCATGCTTGCATCTAGCCACAGCACGTCCCCACCTTCAGCACTGTTTCTTATAGAAGAATAAGGCAGCTCGTTAGCTAAATGAGCAGAAGTTGTTAAAAAAAAAAGTAAATTAAAAAAAAAAAGGCAGTACTGTGAAGTTCTGACACTTCGGATCAGAGAAGCTTAATGGATTTACAACCAGATATTTCCTCATCAGCAACACTGGAGCTGTTCAGCTTGAGGCTGGATTTATGTAGTATGTACCTTTGGCTGGGCGACTGCCGGGCAGGGCTGCTCTCACCAGCCAAACTTTCTTTTCTTGGCTACCCTGCCATGTTCTTGGTCTAATTTTAGAATTATAAATTGAATTTATACTCAGAAAAGCTGCCTGATCACTCATGGAAAATCTGCAGTGCCAGGAGTACTTTGCAGGCCAGCGTGAAGCTGATGCGCTGATGTACTGAGCACTTGGCAGATTGGGGAGAGGTTTTTTTTTTTTTGAGTGTGTTGGGCATTTGTTTATATTTTTTGCTGGGGATTTATTTATTTGTGAGACTTAACATGGCACAGGCTGTCCTAAAATGGAGCCCAGTACTTGGTCTCCACCGCCCGGGTGACGGAGAGGGGCTGGCAGATTGCAAAACCATCCCCTGACGGGTGAGACCGGAGAAGCAGCTTCGCCTCTCGCCTGGCCAGGGAGGAGGAGGAGGAGGAGAAGGTGCCTTCCTCCACCTCGCACAACCCGAAAATCCTCCCTGGAGCAGCTCTGTGCTGCTCTGCCAGCCCAGGGGCTGGTTTGCAGAGAGCCCTGGCCACAGACCCCCTGCCCCAGGGTCTGACTCTGGACGGGGATCCCACCCACTGCGGGGCCACGAGCCATCTCGCTGGCTGGTCCTTTGGCTTTGCTGGGGGCCAGTGTTGGTCACAGCCCCCTCAACAAGCTAAATGGGACCAGCAGAGCCAGGGAGATGCTGCCCCTGCTCATGTATGTGCAGACCCACCCCGTAGCTGGGAGGGGAGGACAAGAGTGAGTCCTCCAAATCCCAACCCCTGCACCTACTTACTTCAGCCCTAAAGTGTGTTGCTGTAACACAGCACAGCTCCAGCCACCCCAAAACCAGCAGCTCAGTTCTTCCCCTGCCACCCTGGCCCTTTGGGAGCAGCTTCTGCTTCTCTGGTGGTGACAATCACCAGAGCAACGGGGATCTTCTTCCATCACCTTATTTCTGCTTGAGACCACCCCAGGGTGGTGGGTGTCCCTGTGTGCCATGGGCACTGGGACATCCCTCCTCCTGAAACAGAGTCCTCACTGCCCTGGTGCTGCAGGATCACTAAAGCAGGAGAAATTGGTCCTCTGCAAAACCCAAATATATCCACGCAGCAGAGTTTGGTTTTTACGCAGTGGGGTGAGCCGTTATAAGGGGTCTGTCCATGCACTGTCCCCCAGTGGGAGGAAGGCTTTGTCCTCCTCCTTCCCAGCTCCTTCAACAAACACCTCCCTGCTGCTTTGTGGAGGTTTGGTGGTAAATATTTGTCCTGCTCCCCTCTCTGTGGGACACACACACTCTCACATTCAGACTCGCTGGCCGTGGGGGTGGTGGGCTTTGGCAGGATCCATGGGCAGATCCGTGTGCCCGCATAAGCATTGGGAAGATGATCAAAAGTAACCACCACTTATCTGCCTGTGCATCTCGGGGTAACCACAGCTTCTATAAACATTACTTAATTAACACCTCAAAATGCTGTGGGAAGTGGGTAATGAAGCATTATCGCATTTTTGGGGTGTTTTAATTGAGAAGTGGTGAGGCTCGGGGAATAGCTCAGGGCCCCGTTGGGAGGGGAGGCGCACGGCCACCAGCTCCACCCAGCCCAGGACAGGCTCCTGCTGCCCCCCCGGCCCCCGAGCCCTCCGCTGGGGAAAGTGGGTGGTAAATACCCCAGGAAGCTCTGACAGGTGGGGGTCTCACCCCACGCTCTGCTCGTGGTCCCGTTACACTGTGCACAGCACCCAGAGAGCATCTCGGTCTCACTGTCTCCTCCTCCCATGGCAGAAGACCTCGGCAGCAGCATCCCTGGGAGCCCACACTGCTCCTGACGGATGGAGAATCCATCACTCCTGGTCCTGCCTGGGCGAGCAGGTCTTGCCTGGGGTAAGGGGCATGAAAATCCTTCATAACCACTCTCACAACGTGGTACCCCTGCTCCTGCTGTGTTGGGGTCTGTACGGGCATCTTGAGTCTCTCTGATGGCCACACAAATTAATAAATCTCATTTGCGTGGAATAAACAAGAATAAATCTCTCCTCCCTGGGTACGGTGCAGGTAATGAAGTCCTTAGCTGAATCAGCTTTTTTCTTCAGCGCTATTTAAAAAACAGGGGTTATGTGCCAGGAAGATTCAGTCCTGCAAAACCATCCTGGGTGCTTTTACGCCCACTGGTCGGACCAGGTCAGCTGGATGGGGGGTGAGACAGCCTGGGGCACTTCTCCTCCATGGAGCTCACAGGGCCTCAGGGGACTGGGTCTGGCCCTGTGGCCAGGGCATTTTAAATCTGCTGGTGGTGCAGGTCCAAAAGTTGGAACCAGGTAGCTGGGACCCCTGCTGCTGAGGGTGCCTCACTGGGGAATGCCCCAGGACACCCCGCTGGTGGGGATGCCCCAGCTTGCAGAGGGCTAGGAGAGCACATCAGGCTTCTCTTCACTGATATAAAGCTAAGGCCTGGGTGGTCAGTAAATATTTCTTTTTTTTTTTCCTTAGTAGCAGGAGCTGCAGGAATTTTTTCTTTTTTTTTTTTTTTCCCCTTAGTAGCAGGAGCTGCAGGAAGGGCTCTGCATGCTCTGAAGACCTTGGACAACATTGCTGTGTTTGCTGTGATTCTGCCAGACAAGCTGCCCACCCACTAAAGGACGTGTTTCTCCTGGTGCCTGGGAGCTGCTGGGACCATGGTGGTGCCCGGTTTGGGATGAGGGGAGGTTGGGGGGCTACAAGGAGCCCTTCCATTTGTGGAGCTCTGCTCCATGTGAGCTGTACTTGGTGCTCTGGTCTTGGGCAACACCTCCTGCTTTGGGTTTCCCTGTACATCCCACGTGGCTCTTCTAAGGCAGTGATGGAGAACATCTCTGGATGCTGCTTCTCCACTTTCAAGGCTCCTTTTGGGCAATTTGAGCAATATCAGGGTTTCAGGCGTCACACAGCTGGGACCTCCCCAGGTTGAGCATGAGCGGGGCAGGAAGGGTAGATGCTTTCTCTTCCCGGCTCAGCATCTGCTCCTGATGAGGTTTAGGAGCCAGGTTCCCATTGCTGAGGTGCTGGAGGAATGTGCTTGTAGTGTTGAGCTGCTGGAACAGATGACCTGCCTCCAAAAGCCCTGGAGAAGCTTTGACAAAAGATGCCAAGGACTAATTCCACCAAATCTCTGTTCTTCAGGAATTCCTGCAGCTCGTGTTGAAACAGGTGGGAGGTGCCTCTTACCTCCCGCTTCTGGGGAGGGAAAAGTGCCCAACACCTCTCATTTGGAAGAAAAACCCACGCAGCGTGGCTTTGCCTTGCTTGCAGCTGTACATCAGTCCAGCCAGCTGCAGGAGCCTCTGCCGAGCAGAGCTGGTCCCCTTCCGAGTGCAGCCCCTTGCACACCCCATACCTGGGGGGCTAGCTGGGGTGTGGGCACCCTCTCACTGCTCCCGAGTGGATCAAGGGAAAAACTCAGTGGGAGATGCTCTATTTGGGAAATATCTGCTTCTTCAACAGGCTTGCACCAACCAAGCTTCTCCACCTCGTTGGGCAAAGCCCTGTCAGCTTCTGAGCCTCATCCTCCCCAGAGCAGCTCTGCTCTGCCTGGGCTTTAGCCCCACTGCAGCATCACGGATGGTCCCCTCTCACCAGCTCAGCCCCACACTGTGCCGTCCAACAAGTGGGACAGCCCCAGCCAGGCATTTTTATGGGCTGAGGCATCCCTGCCTGTCCCAAATGCTTGGTGACACATTGGTGCTGGGGACACTTTGCTGCCTGGGTTGGGTTTTGAACCAATACCATGCACCAGTGTCCTGTGTCCTCCAGTGAAGCCATGGGGAGGATCTGTGATCATCTCCCCTCTAAGTGCTTCCAGGGCTTTCCCCCATCATGGGACTGTCCCAGCAAGAGGGGACAAGGAGGAGGTGATGGGGACAGTCCAACCTACAGCACCAGCAGCATGCATGGGCACAGCTTCCTCCCAGCAACAATCCCACCTCTGCATCCTTCCACCTGGATTTAAAGTAGGGAAGAGGGATGACAGCCCCCAGTAACACCCCCCCTCGTGCCTGGGGCAAGCTCCAGCATTACTGAATATTTGCACTGCCCACAGGAGCGTGTCTGCACACCCCAGGAGGGCACCAGCAGGGTGTCCCATGGGGAATATGATAGGGACAGAGGGTCTGAAGGTGGGGGGACAGAGGTCTACCTTGCCCAGCTTGCGGGGGTCCTCACAACCCAGTTCCCACAGAGGGGAAAAGGGAGAAAATTTCTACTTAGCCCTGAAAACACAGATACAACCAATTTAGGGTGGGGAACTGGGGGTGGGAAGGGAGCCCCATCACCTTGTTGGAAGTTGCTGAGCGTGTAGGGGTGAGAGGGGGTGATGCCCCCCCGGTGCCAGGGTGAGCGGTGCTGCCGGGGACAGGCCCCGTGGCCAGCCCACGTGCTCCCACGGTGGCCACGGGGCCGGCTCTGCTGGCAGGGTGGCTGTTGCCCAGCCCGGATGTTTGCTCGGAGAAAACGCCGATATTTGCTGCCCCCCCTCCCTGCTCTCCAGGTCCAAACCTGACCCGGCTCCCCGCTCACACCCCCCCCTGACACCCCCAAACTGCTCTCACCCTCACACAGCTATTTCGCTTTGCCCGAGCCACAGCTGGATGCCATTTCTTTGCATTTCCCCTCCCAGTGATCTCTCACCACTTCTAATGCTCAAGTGGAAAATGCCAGAGGAGAAGTTTTTGTAAGAGGAGAGGAGAGCCCCGGGGTCCTGGCTGGGCACTGACCACACACCCCAGGCTGGCTCCGCTCCCTGCCGACCCCGCACGCCCACAGAGGCAGAACCAGCACTTTGCAACAAGCCATCAACTCCCCGACTGCTAGAAAAATCCAAATTTCCTCCTCAACCTCCGAGAGGGGACAGAAAAGCAAGCAAACCCCCAACACCACAGCCTCTGCCCATCAGATGGGAGCTGGCGCAGGCTCCGGCTGCCAGCACCGAGTGACAGCTCTCCCCGGGCGTCCTGCTGCCTGGATTTTGGGCAGTTCTCCATGTGCAGCTCAAGCCAGCTCCCTCCCCAGCTGCCTGACACTGCCCAGGGTGCCAGGGAAGAGATAAAAATCAGTGCAGGCACAATACTCACGTTGGGGGACCGTGTCTCTCCCTCCACTCCTCCAGCTGGGTTAAGTTGTGATCAAGAGCTGGTCACCTGGGGCAGAGAGACAGGAGTGAGCAGTGTGGGTGAACTTGCACAGACAAAAAGCCATAATTTTTTTTTTTTTTTCCTCCCCTTTGCAGTCTGACTGGCTCTACTGGTTTGCGTTTCTTTGCCCCAGCAGCAGAAAGGAGGCTCAGCTTAACTAAAGCCGCCCAACAGGTTCTGCTATAATAGGAGAAAAGCTGCAAGACCAGTATGGTGTGAACCCAGATAGAGATTTGATTGTTTTCCCATAATTACAGTCCGACCTGTGCTGTTGGTTGAAGTCAATCACATTAGCAAACAGACCCATTTAAATAATTCATCCACCATTAAGATGGGAATTTTTTTTTTTTTCATTTTATATAACTTGGCTGTTTCCAAGAGGAAGAGAAAACAAGAAAAATCAAATGTGACAGCAGCAGCGTCCTGTGAAACCAGAACAGCACAGCTGGGGGCACACAACAGCCCCCAGCCCAAACAGCTCAGGAGAGGGCAAGGAACATGCCCAAATTGACACAAGTGGCTACTTTCCAGTGCAGGATGGAAGCCCCTGGTCCTGGACTGTCTCTTGGGGACCCTTCACAGCAGCTGGGGACCAGGGGAAAAGTCTGGGTACCTGGGTGCTGATCCTGGCTGTCAGCCCTGGCTCAGCCCAGGTTGCCTCCCGGCTCCAGCTGCTGACACCAGCAGCTTCCACCCCTAACCGTGGGCTGGAGGAGCCCAAGGCAACGTGGACACGTCCCGAGCCTTTGAAGTGCAGCTCTTTCAGCATCCCCTGGGAAAATGCTGGCACGGATTCCCCTGCCCAGGCTGGGCAGGAACAGCCTTCCCACGCAGGGGCTGTGAGAGCAAGAGGCACATTCACTCACCATCAGTAGTGGGAGCACCGATAAAAAGCATCAAGAAGTTGTTGCCTGCTCGTCTGAGCCCCAGACAGTGTGTCCTGCTTGGCCAAGAGCCGCCTGGCAAGTGCAGGGCCCTGCTCTGCTGGTGTGGCCACCTCTGAGAGCGGCTCCACGCTGGGCAGGGACGCGTCCATGTTGCTTAACAGGACACGTAAGCTGGGGAGGGTGGCTTCCTGGTGACATTTCCAGGGCCAGCGGAGAGGGAGAGCTCCTGCAGAAGGGGATTTGGAGCATCTTCCTCCGAGTCACCCCCTGGGGCAGCCATGCCGTGCCATCCATCCCCAGAACTCAGTCTCCAGCCACCAACTTGGACCCTCCACTGGTGGAAAGTCACATCCCTCTGGTGGAAAGTCACATCCCTCCACCAGCAGCAGCATCACCACACTCATTTACTCCCCAGCTGCTGAGCTGGCTCCTTAAGAAAGCCCAGCACGGCGCTGAGCATCCTCAGCAGCGTTTCCCCACAGTGATCCCTGCTGCCCCACGATGGCATGGCCCATCTGCAAGCCACCAAAGCGGTGGCTTTGGGCTCTGCTGCCCACCCAGGGACAGGTCTGGCTGGTGGGGAGCAGCCAGGGCTCCCAGGAAGGCGGCAGCACGCCCACGCCATGGAAATGGGTGGCAGGTAAACAAGCAGCCGCTGGGCGAGCCCTGGTCCTGGGCAGACCTGTAGGGACTGTTTGGTGGTTGCTCTACGTGCATGAAATTCCTGGCTGGTTCCTCTGCGAGAGGGACACAGCACGGAGAGAAGGCGGGTTATTGTCCACCTGAGGCTTCTCATGAGCCATCTGCAATGGGCAGAGGAGAGGTTTTGGCCTCTTTGATCCCTTTCTCTTTCCTTTTGGGTTTTTTGCTTTACTGAGGGATATGGCAATTAGAGATTGATTGCTCGATACGGCCTGGTACCTCAGGCTGGTGTTTGCGGTGGTGGAATTAATGGCAACCACACGGCAGAGAGATCCTTGCTCAGCCCAGCCTGGTGACACCATGGGTGGTGGTGGGGTAAGAGGGAGGTGTGGGGCTCAGGAGACAACCCACAGCAGCCAGACCTCCCAGCAGTGGCTGTGGGACACGTGGCACAAGCTGTGGGGGCACCACCACCATCTCCTACCTCCAATGGCTCAGCCAGGGCTCTATCTGCAGCATCTTCCACTGGGGCTTTGGGGAGGGAAACACTAAAAGGAGGGTTTAATGGCTTAATAGCGGCTGATTGTGGGGAGCGAGGAGGCTCGAGGCAGGAGCAGCTGCCCAGAGGGGTTGTGCTGATCCATGAGAAGGCAGAACGGACAGTCCTGGGAAGCAGAAAGTGATGCACTTTGCAATAATCTTCACCTTGTCTTGCAGGTGAAATCACACAGACTGCTCATAGGAACCATGATTCCACCAAAAAACTGATGCTTCCAGGCTGAAAAGCCAGAAGATCTGGACAGGACATCAGTTTCTTTACAACTGGGAATGTAAATTAAAAAAATATATAATAATTTCAAGCCCTTTTTCTAGAAGAAAAGAATAATCTTCTAAGCAGAGGAACACAAACCCCCTAATGCAACCTGGAGGTACCTGACCAAGACTGAGACAGGCAGCTGGAACTGGAAAACCACGGAGACAGGAGAGTGTCTCTGCACGGGGAGGCTCCGCAGCACCGGGGCTGCGATGGGCAGCCTGGAAGCAGGAGCCATCAGATAATTGTATCTGGGAAAAAGCAATCCCTTTCCAAGCCAGAGCTGTCAGAAGCTGCTGCCAAAACCCATCAGCTGTTGCAGAGGACGGTCACTACCTGGGCTCTGGACAGAAATCCCTCCTCAGTCACCATGGGCACGTGCTGCCAGGAAAGGGCCATTAACCTGGAGGAGGGTGTTTGCCCAGAGCAGACTCCAGGCACTACACTGAATGCATATTTTAAAAAAATTAATACAAGTCCTCCCCAGATTGATTCTTTCTGTAAATTCACATTTTTCCCTTCGTAAGCACACTTCTCACCCTGCCAGATCCCAGCTGCTGCCATTGCTGCGTGAGACAAGAAGGACCTTCAATAGGTTTCAACCTGTTTGCTGGATGGAAAGGATGTGACCAAAATTAGAGGGAGCCCTGCCCTCCCCATTCAGGCAGGTCTGGGAGGTCTGAGTCACCCTCGGGCAGTTGCCTGCCCCATAGGAACCATCCTCATCCTCTGCCATCTGAGCCAGGGCCCTAACAGCCAGTGTTCCAAAGCTGGTTGTTCTTTGCTCATAGCTTTCTAAATAGGAGCCAAAACCTCCCTCTCCTGTTACCAAAAAAAGGAACTCCCATAATTTGCACACCACCTTTTAGTAGCAGAGCCATTGATAACACATTAAAGAAGAGTAAGGTGATTGCTCAGAGAGCACAAGCTCAATGTATGTAACAGGGAAACTTCCGATGGTGAGAAAGCCCATTCCCTGAGCTAATTCATACTGACTCCCACCCAAAATCAGAGAAAAAATGCGAGTTAGGTTTTCAGGTGAAGATGGTCACCAAAAATAACATCTATTATGGCTGTAGATTATCCTTCACTCCACAGGTTTCAACAGAACAGGAAAACTTCCTATTTCACAGAAGAACTCCACGAAAGCACATACTTGTTCCCACTGAAGGGGCCACCACAGAGAGCTGAAGACACCCAGTGATTACCAGAGGGGGGGTTCCTCCCTGTGGGCTGGGCTGCAGTACCTGAGCGAGGAGCAGGGCAGAGCTGGAGATCACAAACAGGTTCATCCAAGAGCCCAGGTCACCAGGGGAGTTCATGGTGACACGGCCAGAGCTGGAGACCAGCACCCTGCACCATTCCTGAGACAGGGACCAGCAGCCCCATACTGGGCTGAAATGGGCTCCTGGGCCAGGGGTGTGGGTGGAGGCCCCAGGTGAGGCTGCTCAGGGCTTGTAAAGCCCATTAGTGCCCCCAGGGCCCTGACAAAAACATCCCCACATCATTAGCAATCACTTATGGATATGAGGAACCAGGTGAAAGGGGAGTAGAGCCCAATGCCTAATTTCAGGGCACGTCACTGATAGTGGAGCCAGCATCACCTGCAGCAGCCTGGGAGCTGGTGGCCCCACAGTGAGCACCCCACACTTGCTAATGTAACTTCACAGGACTCCACTGCCGTTGTGATGAGTATTTTGAGGCCAGATAAAATGAAATAGAAAACCCAGGCTGAGCCAGGGTGGGATGAGCAGCAGGAGCACCCGCTGCAGCACTTGGGTGCCTTGACCTCACCTTCCCACTCCATGGCATGGGCATGCAGCACCTCTCTGGTGATCTCTGAATATACTGAATATTCATAGAATCATAGAAAAGTTTGGGTTGGAAGGGACCTTTACCAGTCATCTAGTCCAACTCCCCTGCAATGAGCAGGGGATATAAGTCTTTGAGATAAGCCTGAGGGCACTCCAGAGCCTGGTCCTCTTGGGCTTTTCATAAAACCCCATAAGAGCAAACCCACAGGGCGATGCCCAGAGCTCCCAGCAGCAAGAACAAGCATCCCAGAGCAGCACCACCGGGCGCCTTTGAGCAGGACATGCAGAAACACGGGCAAAAATCTGCAGGGGAGCCAGAGCTCCCAGCAGCAAGAACAAGCATCCCGGAGCAGCACCACCGGGCTCCTTTCGGCAGGACATGCAGAAACACAGGTGAAAATCTGCAGGGGAGCCGTATGAATCACAGAATCTTCAAGGTTGGAAGGAACCTTAAAGATCATCTTGTCCAACCGTCAACCTGACTGACAAAACCAGACACCCGCACAACAACCAAGAAACATCACCATCGCTAAACCATACCTCCCAGGGGGGTCCGGGGCGGGGGGGGTCCCCGGCAGCCTCGGCAGTGCCCGGTGCTGCACCCCGGGGATGGGGACATGCAGCACCTCTCTGGTGATCTCTGAATATACTGAATATTCATAGAATCATAGAAAAGTTTGGGTTGGAAGGGACCTTTACCAGTCATCTAGTCCAACTCCCCTGCAATGAGCAGGGGATATAAGTCTTTGAGATAAGCCTGAGGGCACTCCAGAGCCTGGTCCTCTTGGGCTTTTCATAAAACCCCATAAGAGCAAACCCACAGGGCGATGCCCAGAGCTCCCAGCAGCA